GCTTTTGAATGATGAGGTAGATATTGCCCCAAATTATGGGGAATACAGAGGGTTGCATTGAGTCTAAGTAAATTATTCTCACTCTTGTGCAGCAAATATCAAGGCTTTATCTCAACTCTGCACTCAGTATGAGCTACTTATTATAAAATTAAAATGGACATGCGAAAATGGTCAGAAACCCACTCCAGAAGTCAGCGCAACATGGAGATTTACAGGGTTTCCAATGTTGTGAGCAGTCTTGACGATAGCCCTCCAAAAGGAAAAGATTCAGAGCTGAGTTCAGAGAAATGGAGACAAATCAGAAGGCAGCTGGGGATGGCTGCAGTGACATTTTTCAGAGCAATAGGATAAAGAACTCGAGACAGGCGATGATTTGAAAGAACATTTCTTGATATTTTAAAGAAGTTTGTAGCAAATGAAGCCACCAAGAAAGCCACCAACTCGGTTAAACCAATGAAGAGAAAGATCTGGAACTGGGCAAGAGCTTTGGAGCAGATTCACCAGGAGGGAAGTTGGCAGGTGACCTGCTGCCCAACCTCCCTTTTAGGGTTAATCTCCTGTGTGCTCCCTCCGATTTGGGGGAAACGCAAGGAGGATGTTTTCTCTCTCAAACATTTGAAAAAGCTATTTTCAGCTGTTTTTAGGAAGGGAGGAACAAGAGCATTCCTCTCTGAAACCACAAGAAACCTTCATGTATGTGGCCAGAAGTTGAAAGTAAATTTGTTATTATGCTGCTTACGTGATTCAGGCCTTTTCAGAGTCACCTGAAGGCCCTTCAGACAAGGAAAATCTGGACAGAATCAAAGTCCCTTTCAAACAAAGTACCTCCAATGTTGCCTGCCTTGATGTAACTGATGTACAGTATTACTGTGCAATGTAACGGCAGTGCACAGCACTCTCATCATGGTTTTAGCATTTAAAATATAACCCTGAATTAGATCAGTTTGATAAATTAGCTCCAAACTATAGCCACAGTCGCCTGCCCATTGGAAGAATTTCTAGTAGAGGTTCTGTTCTTTGCCTTATAAAGACTCGCCTATGAGGGTCCACGGCTGCTGTGAGGGGAATGTTTTGTTGTTGTTCTTAGTGCTAAATGGGGGAAAAGAAAAACTGGTTTTGTAACTGTACTGGCCTTATGAATTACCTGATAAACAACTCTGAGTAATAAGGTTGGAAATTCTCTTAAAATTTTTTGCACATTATTTGGTTACAGTCTCCATATGGTAGAAAGGCGAGGACAGAAAACCTTCCATTCCGCGTCTCCACCCACAGCCCCCCCCCCCACAACCACATATTTAATCCATGCGCTTATGTCAAACTTAATTACAGGACTTTTGGCATAAAATAACAGTCCACATCCTCAGAGAGAAGAACTTAAGCAGTTAATATGTGCGATTGAGTGAAATTGCTTTGCTGAATGTTTATGAGTAACCCAAGACCAGTGAAATGTGCTGATATTTTAACCATTTCAATGCTGAACTTGTGCCAAGAGGCTGTGGAATAGGAGGAGAAAAAAGAATAATTTCTCCTGATCTGCTGTGTATTATATTTCCTGAAACTGAGAGTGCTGGGTAAGACAATTTTATGGCACTTTCACAAATAGGTTTGTAGAAGAAAAACAATAAAGCTACAACAATTATGGAACTTGTCCTCATCTCAGGGAACTGCAGGAATTCAACAGAAGAGCAGCAGGTTTAAACCCATGCCCGTTTCTGCAGAAAATCCTCTGGAACATCACGGCTCCCTACAAGGGGCAATTATTTTTGCCTTTGGGTTTTTTCTGACCCCCTTGAACCTTTGCAGACATTTCCCTTTCACATTCATTCCCAGTTTAACGTGAGTGGTTTTAAAATGTAGAGATTTCCGACCCTGAAATGACTGTTTCCCACTGCCATCATTGATGAAATAAACTACCTCTGTTGAAACTTTCTTTTGTCTAAATCATTCACAGTAAGACTTGCCTCTTTCAGATTAGAGGAACCTCTTAAAATATAAAATCATCTGCTTGGTTTCCTTCTTTATCCAATGTTCTTTCTTAAGCCAGTGAGATTTGGAGCTACTTCTGACTTCATACTTACTCTCATTACCTTTGTTTCAGAACACAGCCATATTACCTACCACCTGCCCCATAAATGCCAGTCTTTTAACATGATAGTTTCTGAAGCTTCTCTGCACTTAAATGTTCCACCAAATTCTATCTCCATTCTCTCCAAATCCAACTCTCCCGCTCCTAGACTCTTAGGGGTGTATTCAACACATGTCCCAAGGACGACAGAATCCAACTGCATCATACTCGTCTATAGAATGTTCTGTGGGCTGTTTCAGGAGCTTCAGGTTTTAGCAATGCTGCCCATCCATCTTGCCTCACACTTCTCCCTCTAAACACTTTCTCATCCCACTTCTGTGACTGTACCTTTTCATTTCATTGGCTTGTACCTTCGATTGCTATTTCAAAATATTCTTGGAAGTGCATTTTCTCTTCTATCTGCTTCTCCAGATATCCTTAGGGTTATGTATTATACTTATTTTCAGAACTCTAGTTTAGTCTAAGCACATGAGAATCCCAGCCTTGAGATGCATACAATAATGTTATGGTGTTGAAATTCGAGGGTATTTGTGAAATTACCTGGCACAGGGCCTAATCCATAGAAGACTTTCTATAAAAGTCTCTGGTTCAATGATTCCTTTATTCGTTCAATGTATATTGAGCACTTAATGCACAAAACTACTACCTGGTGATAATACTTTGAATCATGCTAGTTGCTGGGGGTTCAGATATAAGAGACCCTACATTTGCTAAAATAGTTCTAGACATGTGAATGCCATGCCCTGAGTACTTTATACACTTCTGTATGCAGTTCTGCACCAGGAACATCACACATAACTAACAACCCAGAAGGGAGGGATTTTTACCCCCTTGCATTATTTTTGATGCAGGTTATCAACATGTAGGTTTGACAGTCATAATTCCAAAACTCTTCTAGTCTCAAAGTGAAATATTTTAGTAAAGTGTTAAGGTGATGCCCAATATGGTAGAGACTTACGGACTCTACATAAATGGACTTCTTTGTTTACTTTTTACTCATGTTTTGGGTCTTAGATTAAAGTTACTTTGTTAGGGGGACTTTCCCTGGCCCACTCAAATAGAAATTAGTTCTCCTTATACTTTCTCTCACACTCTGTACTTTCCCTTTGTGGTACTCACCACAACCTGCAGGTGTGGATTTATTGTGGGATTATCCCTTTTGTGTCCATCTCCCCTGGGACACTGTAAGTAAGCTCCGAGAAAGTAGAGACCTTATCCATTTCGTTCAATACTCTATACCCAAGCTTGAGCACAGTGCTTGGCCCACAGTAAGTGTTCAATAGCATTTGTTGAATTATTATTGTCATAATAACATTGATTACAAAAGTGCAAGCAGTTGATTCAGTGTTTTATTTTTTCTTTCCCCACTTTGGAATCAGTCACCCAATTTTTGAAGCATCCTTCCCTCCCTCGTGGCTTCCATGTGGCATATGACTGAACTATTTGGGGTCTCACTGGCTGGCTGTGAAGAAGGGGACAGAAGCAGTTGGTTGCTTTTACCCCCATGACAAAAGCTGATGGCAATCGGAGAAGAAAGGCTGAGCTAGAAAAGGTCAACTATCAGACAAGTCTGGGAGGTGGGGAAAGCTGGACATGGGAAGAGAGTGACCTTGGTGTCTTCCTGTCCTTACTTCCTGTCTCCCCAGGAAGTGTCACTCAGAGGTTTTCAGGAAAGGGTGTTGTCATGGCAACTGAATTGGCCCTTCCCCTCCCGGTTGTATGGGGACAAGTGCCCTCGTGTACTCCGGCTGTCCCCATGCTGCATGGGGGAAGAGGGCAGTCACTCTGAGGCTTCAGAAGCATCATGGAAAATGCAGAGCAGACAAGTCTGCCATGAAAGAACCGACTACAGCATGTGGCAAGGACTCAAGCCCAGGATGCCGCAGAGCCTGTTCTTGAACTAATTAAAATTTAATCAGCTAAAGCCATTTTCTTGATAATTTGGAAACCCTCTCTTAACTTTTGCAAGTTCCAAAGAGCCTCTAAAATAGAGGACGCTATATTTTTGCATGTTTCTCTCTGTGGATTAGGTTTCAGACCCAAAAAGGCACTTCAGAGAGAGGAACTCTAGACGGAGTAACCGTGGAATTCATCATCCAAACCGGGACACTTTGGAGAGCTAAAAGAAGTGCTATTAATATCTATACCAGGACAACAGCTATCAACTGGACTGTCCTGGGCAAAATGGGATATGCACTCCAGAAAACTCTAGGGTCAAAAGCAGATTAAATGCACCCCTGGGATCGAAAATCCAGGCAGGCAGGTCTGTGTCTGTGTGACTCCAGGCCATGGCGGGTGGTAGGTATACAGTAGGTGCTCAAACTTATTAACTGAATGAGTAAATCCAAAGCGGTCCCAGGCATGCTTTCTGAAGAGGAATTGATATGGGGTCCACGAACCTAGGTCAAACAGACCCAGCAGTGACACTGCAAGGGGTGGTCTGTGTTCTTCAGGAAGTCAAGTCTGCAGGAGCACAATACAGAAGGAGATGTGTATTCCGTGTTAACTCATCCCTAACTGTTAGCAGTTAATTGCCTTCTGTTGACACACCCTGAGGGGAAATGTGAAGCAGTTCTTGACATTTGCATATGCATTGTCTGCCTACTTATTTTGCTGGGTCCTCATCTCCTAAAATTCACAGGACTGTGCCCTGATTTTAAAATATACACATAACAGGCACCATACTTTGGGGTCTATTTGGCAAAAAGCGGGCTTCTCGGGATTTCCTTCTGGGTTGGCCAGAGATGCTGGCTGCAGCCGGGGGCCTGCCCAGACTCGCTGGGTCACTCTAGTTCCCACCCCTCCTCCACCAGCCTGCCCAGGCCTTCAGGAAGACTGCAAAGGTCCACTGACCTCCAGGGAGCAAAAGGGCACATCCAGCGTTTTTAAAGGCTGTGGACACTCCGAGTGACACCAGAGCCCACGCCTCCAATGGCGAGGCCGGCGGCCCTGGAGAACAGGGGCGAGGCCTGTGTGTGCCCCCTCGTCCACCTTTAGCCTTGCCCTGGAACTGACCAGAATCGATGCCCCTCTTCCTCAGGGCCAGCCGAGTGCTCCGTCCTCTTCCCATGCCTCGGGAGAGACCCGTCTCCTCTGACAGACTCAAGATTCCAGGCCGAACTTTCCCATGCCATCGTCCCTCAAAATAGCCGGAGCTGAGCTGTATTTATAGCCGTGTGAGACTCTAATGGGCCAATTTGTTTGAATTTCCACTGCTTTTGTGTTGAGCATACCCCTCACCCGTGGACGTTCTCTTTAGGCCTTTATTGATGGGGTGTGTTAGGGTAGAGGGGGCCATGTTCAAGATGGTAGCTGTATAGAGTGCGGGGGCTGTTTTGCATATTTACTGTTCTTTCAAGCCGGTTTTTTGAGAGAGAGAAAGAGACAGAGAAAGAGGTTTCTGTAAGTAGCCCGGACAATGAGAACAAGCCCGGCTGTATGCCAAGCACGGGATCTCGGCCAAAACACATATCATTAGCTTGGACCAGCTATAAGCAAGGAAATGAGAAACATATGTTGGAGAGCAAGGTTAGGAGTGAGAGACTATGGGTCAGTGACAGTCACCCTAAAACTTTTCCCTTGTTCTTCAGCTGTGGCCTGGCGGTGTCAAATGTCATTTCGACTGCCTTGATTTCTCATGGTGGGGCTGCCTGTGTTTTGTTTTGTTTTTTTTTTTTCTTCCTCCCCCTGTCGTTTCCTGATGGGAGTTTTTTTGGGGAGGGGAAGAGGGAGCCGTTGGGGAAGGGCTGGTGTGATAGTTTTTCTCAGTTCTGGGAAAATCACAACCTTGTTTCCCGTGATGCTCTCGGAAATTCCTCACTTTCTCTGAAATCACGGTGTCTCTCCGTTTGGGATTTGGACTTGGTTTGTGAAGGGAAGAAAGAGGGGAAGGCTTTGAAAGCATTTCTTGCTGTTTCTTTCTAAAATATAATTAGACGCGCCTCATTACCTCACGCTGAAGGACTTTTGTACTTTTTCCGAGCTGTGTTTGCTGTGATCTCTGATGGGCTGCGGCCTGTCGTATCCACTTGGCATTTTATCATATTAGCAGTTATTTTTTCCCCAACACGTCTGTCCTCTCCTCTGGCTCTCTGCGAGGTATCTGGACTTGATTTGCTGGTCTGAAGGCCACGCCCGGAGAGTCTGTTGGGGCCCGGTGCCGGGTGACGGGCCTGTCCTCCTCCAGCCCTTCCCGACTTCCCCGGCCTCCACCACATTCGTTTTCCTCAGTTTTTCCCGGACAGTTTGCTAACAAGGCTGTGTTCTCTTCCATCCCAGGGTCAAGACCCTGTTCTCTATAAAACCCAGATGAAGAACTGTATCGCAGGAAACTCAGAGGCGGTCCCTGGAGAACCAACTGCGGCTACTGTTCTGAAGGCGAGGATGGCTCCAGATGGCTGCCCGGGAAACTCACTGGGCTCCGAGGCCTGGTGTTGGCTACGGTCACAAGGCAGCCAGGGGCACACCCGGCCCATCCTGCTGAGGGGCTGTCTTGCCAATGGGTTTGCGGGGCTGTGCAAGCCTGGATGGCAGAGAGCTGGGGGGAAAGGCCCTCCCGTAAATTCTCCTGGCCATCCTTTCTAACACTTGGGGAATGGTGTTGGGGTGGAAACCATTTCAAATAATTAAAACATTTGGTCCCTGTTTATCCTTTGCTTCCTTCTTCAGGCCGTGTTCTGAAAATAAACTTTGCTCTGAGTTTCCGGGCTCCTAAAATTCCCGAGTGTGTGAGTGTCCTGAAGGCCTTGGGCAGAGTTAATGATTAGCTTGAGGTTAGCCGGACCTGTTTTCCCCAGGTGAGCTGTCTTCACACTTCAGTCTTCATTTTTTCCCCCTCTTTTTCTGGGTAGCAGATCTCTTTCCTCTGCATGGAGACAACCCTTATTGTTGAATGTTGCTCAGCACTCAGTGGATCAGGAAGGGTGCGTGCCGGAGTGTGTGTGTATGTGTGTGTCCATTTGACAGAAGAAAAAAACAAACCCAAAAAACAAGAGAGGAACTAGGGCAGCCAAACCACAACATGCAGGCAATGGGTATTTTAAGTCTTAGATTGACGGCGAGGTAGGATCCTGGCTAGGTGCCTGAATGTCTTCCAGTTTCCAAGCGTCTATTTATCAACCCTCTCTCCCTTCCCTCGCTGTCATGGTGGAGGGCAGTTGGGATGAGGTTTGAGTCCATGTGTTTTCCTTCTGTGTCCTTACTGTTGGGCTGCCTCTCAAATCTCAACACAGCCAAAACTTGCCTCAAATCACCACTTCCCGCCATCTCCTCTACCACCTTCCTGCCCAACCACATCTATGCTCACCTAGAACCCAAAAGCCTTCCAAACGGCCCCTCCACTTCCTCTTTCACCCTGTGTTGGTCTATTCACCAATGAGCAGCCAGAGGTACCATCAGAAAACCCAAATCAGATTAATTCTGTTTTCCTGCTGACAGCCCTGCTGGGCCCTGCCTACTTTTCCAGCTTTATACTGAGCCATCTTTCTTTGGTCCTTTATGTTCCAGACACACTAGCCCCATTGTTGTTAGGAATAACAACAATGTCTACTCAATGGGTTGGGAGGAGTAAATGCTTTTTAAACATATAAAGCACCTAAACCAGGGTCTGACCATGACTGGGGCTCAATGAATGGAAGTACCATTCCATTTAATTCTTTGAATTTGCCAAGGGCTTCCCTGCTTCAAGGCCTTCACAGACATCTGCCATTCATCTTTTTCTCTTTGTCAGATAGGTTCTTTCTTAGCTTTCAAGTTTGAGTTTAAACAGTAATTCCTTAGAAATCTTTTCTAACTAGTCTGTTGAAATAGATTCCCATCCTTTCATTCCCAATCTCAGTACTCTCCCGTAATAGCCTATTTATTTCCCTCATATCACTTTTTCCAACTTGTCATCACTTATTATGTTTACCTGTGGGCACGGGTAGGTGTGTATATCCTGATCTAGCACAAGAAGCGTTTGCTGAAATAATATCATATAAAGGAATGATTCAAACTCCGAACCTGTCTTCTTCTAATACCAAAGCCACGTTCTAGCCACTGTGTCTCCTGGGCCACATTTTCCTCTCTAGTTCCTACAACTATTCATTTATTCTCTCATCCTTTTATCAGGATTGACCCTGGGCTCTTGGTGATGGAAATTCTCTGAATCTTCTAGGGGCTACCACATCCCTTCACCATCACTCTATTCTTTCCTCTTGCTTGTGGGCCAGTTTCTCCAGTGAGGCTCACACTTTCATTTATATGTAAATGATAAATAATAGAATATGCAATGCCCAGAGTGACTTCAGTGACTCATAACTCCTCACCTGCCTAGTTAGAGAGGTTTGGGGATGAGTTAACTCATCATCTACCATTAAGAAATCAATGTCTATGCAATTACTCCACGAACACCCAAGATTAGGTATCTGAGAGCCCTACCTGAAGGCCTGAAGAGATAGGAGGAAACCATAGTACTTGTTTTTTATCCTTCTTCAGTTCAGTTCAGTTCAGTTCAGTCACTCAGTCGTGTCCAACTCTTTGCAGACCCCCTGGACTGCAGCATGCCAGGCTTTCCGGTCCATCGCCAATTCCCGAAGTTTATTCAAACATATCCATCGATGGTTGATAATGCCAACCAACCATTTCATCCTCTGTCGTCGTCCCCTTCTCCTCCCACCTTCAGTCTTTCCCAGCATCAGGATCTTTTCCAATGAGTTGGTTCTGTTCATCAGGTGGCCAAAGAATTGGAGTTTCAGCTTCAGCATCAGTCCTTCCAATGAGTATTCAGGACTGATTTCCTTTAGGATTGACTGGTTTGATCTCCTTGCAGTCCAACATACTCTCAAGAGTCTTCTCCAACACCACAGTTCAAAAGCATCAATTCTTCGGTGCTCAGCTTTCTTTATAGTCCAACTCTCACATCCATACATGACTACTGGAAAAACCATAGCTTTGACTAGATGGACCATTGCCGTAAAGTAATGTCTCTGCTTTTCAATATGTTGTCTATGTCAGTCATAACTTTTCTTCCAAGGAGCAAGCATCTTTTAATTTCATGGCTGCAGTCACCATCTGCAGTGATATTGGGGCCCCCCAAAATAAAGTCTCTCACTGTTTCCATTGTTTCCCCATCTATTTGCCATGAAGTGATGGGACTGGATGACTGATTCTACTTACCAATCATCATGACTATATGTTGTATTATATAGAAATAAGAGCTAAGATGTGGTCACCTGACCTGTCCTCATGAATCTTGCTTTCTCTCATAGCCAAGAACACAAAGAAGGACAATGTCCTTGACTGAATTTTTTTTATTATTTATTGATTAATAGCCTGTCTTTTTTTTTTTTTCCTTTTAGCCTCTGTGCACTTTACTAATTACTTCTCTGAAAATCCTTTTACTTTACCATTCACCAGAATGCTGCCACCTTTGGGAAAGAAAGTGGCAACATGATGGAGTGTAAGCTTAATAAAAACTGAGCTTCCAGAAAAGTATTTACTGAAGTGCTGGTCCAGCCCCACCCTGCAATATAATGCACTGTGAAGGCAATGATGTAATCATGAGAAATAGCACAAAGCTTGCATCATAGTGATTCTTCTCATCCAACAGAATAACCCTAAGGATAACTATCTTCATCATTTCATTCTTGGCCCCACCTGGATTTGTACCACTGGCGTGACTAAATCATGGAAACATGTCTATCTGCACATTTGAGACAGTCTGTTCCATTAATATGATCTGAAGGTGAAATCTGTATATCCCCCAGACTAAACTACTTCATGATTTGAATTATTAAGAAAAGCCCAAATAGTTATTAATTCCCTTAAGAGGGAAAACAAAGGTCTCTCCCATTCATATGCAAAAGAGATTCCACTAGTTTATATATGTTTGGATGGGTAGCAGATAAATGATTTTACTGAAATGAAATTTCTTTTCTTTTTTTGGCCATGTGATGTGGCATGCAGGATCTTAGTTCCTCAGCCATGGATTGAAACTGTGCCCCCTACAATGGAAATGTAGAGTCTTAACCACTGGACCACCAGGGAAGTCCCAAAATGAATTTTCTAGGATTTCATAGTGGGAACTTTGGGAGCAAAAAAAGAATGCTGGTGGTAAAGAGGAAGGAGAAAATATTTCTTTAATGTGACATATATCATTATAATGGCACCTTAAGTTCTGAGGTTACCTCTATTTGAAAGAATATGAAACATTATGTACACAGCATTGTAAACCTCAAAAATACAAGTATCCTTACTTTAGAGATGGGAAGAATGGATTCACAGATGAGTCTTCCCCCAAATACAGAACTCTGGAGGCATGCCAACACAGTATATTGCCATTCCAGAGCCTCTGTGTTTCCACAGATCTCAGACTAGACCAAACAATTTTTTTTGGTATTAGACTTGAATCAAAGGGGCAGCCAGGTTGTATTTAACTCAACAAATAAAGTAAATGTTGATTGAGTGTCTACTATGTATAAAGACTATGAAAGGCACAGGCCTTGTTCTCAAGGAACTTGTAACTTAGTGAAGGAGACAGACATGTAAACTAAATTTAATGTAAAGTACTATTGAAGTAAAGCAGTGAGAAAGAAGAACGGACGGCTAGTTGTGGAGGCATCCGAGGGGTGGAGCTGCTCTGGATGGGGGCTGCTTATGACAATCAGAAAGAGAAAGATTCACTGGTAGAATCGGGCTACTTCCCTGCTGACACCAGGGAACGCTTCTGACTGGTGGAGATTTCCTCTTTGTTCTGAGCTGAACTACAAGTAGGTACCTGCAAAAATCCACCACGTGCTTCTAGCTGTAGCCACCAAAGATATGTAACTTGCTTTAATCCCTCTCAGGTGCATCTGCCTTCGCAATTCTAAATCTAGATGACATTTCTCTCTTCTTTCCCAGTGCCAAGACCACTTTGCTGCTGTTGTTAAGTCACTAAGTCATGTCTGACTCTTTTGCCACCCCATGGACTATGGCCCCCCAGACTCCTCTGTCCCAGTCAAGAATACCGAAGTGCATAGCCATTTCCTTCTCCAGGGGATCTTCCCAACCCAGGGATCGAATCTGAGTCTCCTGCACTAGCAGGTGGATTCTTTACCACCAAACCACCAAAGAAGCCCAAGACTTCCTTGCCTTCTCCTGTTTCTGATTAAATGTACCAATTTCTTCAACTCTTTCCCCTAGGGATGATTCTTAAACCCTTCACTATCTGGGCATTCTTCACTTGACCCATTCTAGTTTATTAATGTCCATTCTTAAAATCAGCATTGAAAACGGAACACAATACAGGACTTTAGACATGTGTTGACCAGTGGGTCACTTTCTTCCCTTGTAATCCATCCTTGCCTCTGTTTATTCATCCATCCATCCATCTAAATGACACTTAAATAAGCTTCTGTAGTAGTAGGCATGGTTCTAGTTACTATAGGGGATAAAAAGATGAAAAACTTCAATGAAAATCAAGTTTAGAGAGATGATGATTGGAGAGAACCATATTCCTACCAACACAACCTAAGATTTTATTAGTAATCTGGCAGCCATCATTCACACAGTTAGCACCTACTGAATTTTTTCACCCCTAAACTTCTAACACACAGCTTCACAAAACTTATGCTTAAACAGACTGTCCTTGTTCAGTGCTTTGTCATTTGATTTTGGGAACCAAAGTTC